CCAGTACGGGGGCAGCGCCCGCCGGAGACCCCTGCACGGCTCCTCCGTGGGTGAGTCATTCATTATCCCAAAAATCCCAGTGTTCCCAAAAAATCCCAGTGTTCCCAAAAATCCCAGGGTTCCCAAAAATCCCAGTGTTCCCAAAATTCCCGGAATTCCCAAAAATCCCAGGATTCCCAAAAATCCCAGTGTTCCCAGTGACCCCTGCACGGCTCCTCCGTGGGTGAGTCATTCATTATCCCAAAAATCCCAGTGTTCCCAAAATTCCCAGTGTTCCCAGTGACCCCTGCACGGCTCCTCCGTGGGTGAGTCATTGTCCCGGAATTCCCAAAAATCCCAGTGTTCCCAAAATTCCCGGAATTCCCAAAAATCCCAGAATTCCCAAAAATCCCAGTGCTCCCAGTGACCCCTGCACGGCTCCTCCGTGGGTGAGTCATTGTCCCAGAATTCCCAAAAATCCCAGGATTCCCAAAATTCCCAGTGTTCCCAGTGACCCCTGCACGGCTCCTCTGTGGGTGAGTCATTGTCCCGGAAATCCCGGAATTCCCAGAATTCCCAAAATTCCTAAAAATCCCAATATTCCCAGCATTCCCAGTGCTCCCAGTATCCCCAGTATTCCCAACTATTCCCAACTATTCTCAGCATTCCCAGTGCTCCTGGTATTCCCAGCATTCCCAGTATCCCAAATATTCCCAGTGTCCCAAATATTCCCAGTATTCCCAGCATTCCCAGTGCTCCCAGCATTCCCAGTATCCAGAGTATTCCCAGTATTCCCAGAAATTCCAGTATTCCCAGTGTTTGAGTATTCCCAGCACTCCCAGTATTCCCAGTGCTCCTGGTATTCCCAATATTCCCAGCAATCCCAGTGCTCCCAGTATCCCCAGTATTCCGAATATTCCCAACTATTCCCAGTGCTCCAAGTATTCCCAGTACTCCCAGTATTCCCAATATTCCCAGAAATCCCAATATTCTCAGTGTTTGAGTATTGCCAGTACTCCCAGTGCTCCCAGTATTCCCAATATTCTCAGTATCCTCAGAAATCCCAGTATCCCCAGTACCCCCAATATTCCCAATATTCCCAGTGCTCCCATCATTCCCAGTGCTCCCAGTATTCCCAGTGCTCCCACTATCCAGAGTATTCCCAGTACCCCCAGTATTCCCAGTATCCCCAATATTCCCAATATTCCCAGTGCTCCCAGCATTCCCAGTGCTCCCAGTACCCCCAGTATTCCCACTCTTCCCACTATCCAGAGTATTCCCAGTATTCCCAGCATTCCCAGTGCTCCCAGTATTCCCACTATTCCCATCATTCCCAGTGCTCCCAGTACCCCCAGTATTCCCAGTATCCAGAGCATTCCCAGTATTCCCAGCATTCCCAGTGCTCCCAGTATTCCCAGTACCCCCAGCATTCCCATTATTCCCAGTATTCCCAGTACCCCCAGCATTCCCAGTATTCCCATCATTCCCAGTATTCCCAGTACCCCCACTATTCCCAGTATCCAGAGTACCCCCACCATTCCCATCATTCCCAGTATTCCCAGTGCTCCCATCATTCCCAGTATTCCCATCATTCCCAGTGCTCCCATCCCCTGAATTCCCGCAGGAATCCCATCCCCATTTTTCACCTCTGGAATTCTCCATCCCCTCCCGCCCTTTCCTTCCTTCCCGACCCCCCAAAATTCCGGAAAAAAAAATTCCCTTATTTTCCTAAATCCCGATTTTTTTAACCCTTTCCTTCCTTCCCGACCCCCCAAAATTCCAGGGAAAAAATAAAAAAATTCCCTCTTTTTCCTGAAATCCCGATTTTTTTAACCCTTTCCTCCCCGTTCTTTCCAGAAGTTCAGACAAAGCTCTTTTTCCTGAAATCCCGATTTTTTTAACCCTTTCCTCCCCGTTCTTTCCAGAAGTTCAGACAAAGAAAGTCCGGAAGGTTCCTCCGGGTTTGCCGTCCTCCGTAAGTAGCGCGGATTCCCCTCGGGATGAGGAAATTCGGGAATGCTCGGCTCCGGGAATATCGGGAATATCCAATCCCAGAGTTTTGTTTTGTATTTTTCCCGGGAATTTTTTCCCGGGTTTTTTTTCCCAGGATTTTTTTCCCCAAAAACAAAGTGCATTAAATTAAATTAAATTAAATTAAATTAAATTAAATTAAATTAAATTCCCGAGAAAAAAAACAAAAATAAATCCGGGATTTCCCGTTAATTCCCTAATTAAAAAAAAAAAATCAACCCTCATTTGCATATCTGATTATCGATCTGGGCCTCATTTGCATACGGAGATCCCCGATCGATCCCTCGGGAATTTTTTTTTTTTTGCCTTTTCCCGGAGAAAAATCTGCGGTAATTAGCGGTAATTAACGACTAATAGGGGAATTTGAAGGGATTAATATCGGGAGAGGGACAGGGATTTATGGGAAAATCCTCGGGAATTTGGCAGCGGGAAAACAAAAAAGGCGGGAACGGAACTAATTCCCGGCTTTTCCTCGTTAATAAACGGCTCGCTAATTAATGAAACGTAATTAAGCGGAGAGGGGAAACGGCCTCGGAATGCCGGGGGGGGAGGGGGGGTCGTTAAATCCGGGGAATTCCCGCTTTTCCTGCGGTGGAAAATTCCGGGAATTCCCGAATTGGGAATGGTTTCCCTTCTAAGGAAGGTCCCGAATGGGGAATTTTGGGATTGGAAGCGGAAATGCCGGGAATTCTTGCAGGGTTTTGTGGGAATTTCAGTATCCCGGTTATTCCTGGATGTTTGGATCCTTTTCCTCTCTCCGAAATTCCCGATTTTTCCGGGAATTAGGGAATGAGAATCCCTCTGCTGCCGGGCAAATCCTGCTGGAAATTCAGGAATTGCGGCTGGAAATTTAAAGATTCGGGGATGTTTTTCCTTTCCCGGATCTCCGGAATTTGGGATTTCCTTTGGAACGTGGGGACGGCGGGAATATTCCCGGGATTTCTGGGATTTGAGGCGGGGATCGGGAAAAACGGGAATTGCAGGAATTTATTTATTCCCATCAGGATCGGGATTTTATTCCCGGCTCCCGAAATCCCGGATTCCGAAGGGATGGGGATGGGGATGGGGTCATTCCCGGAATTCCTTCCCGCTATCCCGTCCATCCACGGCCTCTGGCACCGAGAGCGGGAGTAGAACTGGGATCTGGGAGCAGAATCGGGAATAGAACCGGGATCTGGGAGCAGAACCGGGAATAGAACCGGGATCTGGGAGCAGAACCGGGAACGGAACCGGGATTTGGGAATAGAACCGGGGTTTGGGAATAGAACCGGGATCTGGGAGCAGAACCGGGAATAGAACCGGGATTTGGGAGCAGAACCGGGAACAGAACCGGGATTTGGGAGCAGAACCGGGAACAGAACCGGGATTTGGGAATAGAACCGGGATTTGGGAGCAGAACCGGGAATAGAACCGGGATTTGGGAATAGAACCGGGATTTGGGAATAGAACCGGGATTTGGGAGCAGGAGCTGCTCCCATTCCCAGTCTCCATTCCCACTTTCCCATTCCCAGTTCCCATTCCCAGTTCCCCATCCCCCATTTCCCTTTCCCATTCCCAGTTCCCCATTCCCAGTTCCCCATTCCCAGTTTCCCATCCCCATTCCCAGTCCCCCATTCCCCATTCCCACTTTCCCATCCCTTTCCCCCTCTCTCTCTCTCTCCCGTCTCCATTTGGGATTCCTCCGGAGGATTTTTTCTCTCTTTTCGGGAAAACTCTCCGCTCTTCCCTCCTGACCCCGGAGCATCTGTTAGGAAAATTCATTCCCGTTTTTTTTCCCATCCCCTCCCTTCCCGATATTCCGTTGGCAGCGGGAAGTGTGAACGGCGCTCGGATGCGCCGCCTGCTATTTCGGGCTATTTACGCTCACCTCTCGCTTCCCGGGGGAAAAGCGTGCCGGGAGTTTATTCCCGGGAAAAAACAGCTTGCCTGCGCCATGTGCTTCCCGGGACAGTGAAAAGAACAAATCCCGGGAAACGGCGCCGCTCCCANGGGGGGGGGAGGGGGGGTCGTTAAATCCGGGGAATTCCCGATTTTCCGGAGGTGGAAAATTCCGGGAATTCCCGAATTGGGAATGGTTTCCCTTCAAAGGAAGGTCCCGAATGGGGAATTTTGGGATTGGAAGCGGAAATGCCGGGAATTCTTGCAGGGTTTTGTGGGAATTTCAGTATCCCGGTTATTCCTGGATGTTTGGATCCTTTTCCTCTCTCCGAAATTCCCGATTTTTCCGGGAATTAGGGAATGAGATTCCCTCTGCTGCCGGGCAAATCCTGCTGGAAATTCGGGAATTGCGGCTGGAAATTTAAAGATTCGGGGATGTTTTTCCTTTCCCGGATCTCCGGAATTTGGGATTTCCTTTGGAACATGGGGACGGCGGGAATATTCCCAGGATTTCTGGGATTTGAGGCGGGGATCGGGAAAAACTGGGAATTCCAGGAATTTATTTATTCCCATCAGGATCGGGATTTTATTCCCGGCTCCCGAAATCCCGGATTCCGAAGGGATGGGGATGGGGATGGGGTCATTCCCGGAATTCCTTCCCGCTATCCCGTCCATCCACGGCCTCTGGCACCGAGAGCGGGAACAGAACCGGGATCTGGGAGCAGAACCGGGAACGGAACCGGGATTTGGGAGCAGAACCGGGAACAGAACCAGGATTTGGGAATAGAACCGGGAACAGAACCGGGATCTGGGAGCAGAACCGGGAACGGAACCGGGATTTGAGAGCAGAACTGGGAATAGAACCAGGATTTGGGAAAAGAACTGGGAATAGAACCGGGATTTGGGAATAGAACCGGGATTTGGGAATAGAACCGGGATTTGGGAATAGAACCGGGGTTTGGGAATAGAACCGGGATTTGGGAGCAGGAGCTGCTCCCATTCCCAGTCTCCATTCCCACTTTCCCATCCCCATTCCCAGTTCCCCATTCCCAGTTCCCATTCCCAGTTTCCCATTTCCCATCCCCATTTTCCCATTCCCAGTTTCCCATTCCCAGTTCCCAGTTCCCCATTCCCATTCCCAGTTTCCCATCCCCATTCCCAGTTTCCCATTTCCCATTCCCAGTTCCCCATCCCCCATTTCCCATTCCCACTTTCCCATCCCTTTCCC